ATGGAATAGAATAGAATAGAATAGAATAGAATAGAATAGAATAGAATCGATAGGACAGAAAATAGGATAAAATTAGAATTAGAATTTGAATGGAATAATATATGGTTCAGCAAAGATATCATATCAAAATAAAATGACCTGCTTCGTGCATCAGGTGGAGTCCAGGGTGAGTTTGTCCAACACCTGCTAAAAATCCAAACCACCAGCCCCCGTTTTAGCCTGTCTCAAGTGTTGCGCGTGTGAACGCAGCTGTGGCTTTTCAACCTTTTTCATCTCAAAGCACACAGCGTGCTAATTTGCACGATGGCACATCTGGGTTGCAAAACCCCAGGGTTCTTCTGTACGCACCCTTGAATTTTCTTCAATTTCGCGACCGGAAGCTGCAATTGTTTCCACCAATTCAGAGACATCGAGATCCTCGTTGACCATTCCAATGTAAATGCAGTTTTTCTCCGCTCCGAATTCTGGCCCTTAGAAGGAAGACGAGACAAAAACGAAACAAGATGATACCCTGGGCTGTTTCTTTCAAGCCTGTGACAAAAGGGAAGAAAGCCGAGGCCACAAGGAAATGCCTTTTTCCTCTACGGTGCTCCTTTTAAAACTTGGGGCGATTTGGCAAACAATGCATGGGATTTTTTTTAAAAAAAATCTTGGAAATAATATTGAATACATGGAGAGAATCCTGAAAGACCCTTCCTGAGCATCGTTGAGGTGGGGACCCTACTCACAATGCCGGGATCTTTCGAAAAATGAAACGAAGAAGAAAAAAAAAAGACTGTTTGATCAATAACTCCACAAAGAGAGATGAAATGGATAAATGCAAATTTTCTCTGTGGTATGACTACATGGGGGTTGCTTGAGATTTTTTTTAAACCCACCTTTATTATTGTTATAAATAACGAGATAAATATACATACTACTTCTCCTATTTACCCCGTAGCAGCAGCAGCAGCAGCTCTGTGAGATGATGGGGGGGGGTCAGAGAGAGGAACTGGCGCAAAGTCACCCAGCCAGTTTTCATGACTGTGTGACGAGACTAGAACTCTCAGCCTCCTGGTGATGGGCCCCAAAGCACCTGGCTGGCTTTCATGCCTAAAGTATTACTAGAAATCCCCGGCTCCTGGTGGTAGGTCCAAGGCCACCCAGAAGGCTTTCATGGCTAAGGTGGGACTAGAACTCCCAGTCTCCTGGTGATGGGTCCAAGGCCACCCAGCCAGCTTTCATGTCTAAAGTGAGACTAGAACTCTCAGCCTCCTGGTGATGGGCCCCAAAGCACCTGGCTGGCTTTCATGTCTAAAGTAGTACAAGAACTCCCAGGCTCCTGGTGATAGGTGCAAGGCCACCCAGAAGGCTTTCATGGCTAAGATGGGACTAGAACTCTCAGTTTCCTAGAGATAGACCCAAAGTCACCCAGCCAGCTTTCACGCCTAAAGTGGGAGTAGAACTCCCAGTCTCCTGGTGATAGCTCCAAGGTCACCCAGCCGTCTTTCATGCCTAAAGTGGAACTAGAACTCTCAGTCTCCTGGTGATAGGCCCAAAGTCACCCAGCCGTCTTTCATGCCTAAGTCAGGACTAGAACTCCCAGTCTCCTGGTGATTGGCTGAAAGTTACCCAGCCAAGTTTCATGCCTAACGTGGACCAGAATACAGGGTCATTCAGTTTCTAGCCTGGTTTCTAGATCAAGCCGACTAATGCAGAACTAGAAGCATCTCTTTCTGACACATGAATACACACGTTTCATAGATAGCCAATTACCTAAAGAAAATAACAGGTCTGATTCCAGTTCGTTGAGCTTCTTCAGAAGGCCACTGTTTATCTTCTCCATGTCTTTCTCCGGCGTTTCTTCATTTTGGCCCTTATACCTTTCCAAAACCAAGTCAAAAGCAATTACTGATTTACTTCCTTTCCTACTTTTTCCCACATCCCTACTGATCTGTGCTCCCGTTACCAAACTAGGGAACATCATCAGTGCTCTAAGGGTGTAGGGTTTGCTCTTATTTTATGTACTAATGCGGAGTGCTTAGATCTGGCCTGTGGGGCTTCCCTAGAAACAGCAAAGGATGAAGCTTGGCCCAGGCTTCATTTTCAGCTGCGACGGCCTTTTGCCGCCCTCTGCCAGTACAAACGGAGCTCTGTTTTTGCTGGCAGGGGACAGCAGGAGTCCGTCGCAGCTAAAAACGGAGCTTGGGAGCTTGTTTTCGCTGGCAGGCGGCAGCAGGAGTCCGTTGCAGCCGAAAAGGGAGCTTGGGAGCTTGTTTTCGCTGGCAGGGGGCAGCAGGAGTTCATCGCAGCCAAAAACGGAGCT